TAGAGGGTACATCAACTCATGTTCCCCTCGAGACCCGTGGACAACGTATAATGTACACCGTTGAGGCACCTCCGCGAAGTGAACACGAAACATATCTTAAAGCAAAAAGCCCATCGACCCCGATAATCATGTTCATGAATGCATAAGTGAAAGGTTTCCCGAGAGTTCATGACATGTCTCTACTGCTGCTGTACACTGACACTCCCTGTGTGGAGCTTGTGCAACATATCACTATTGCTGGAGTCACCACAACCATGTGATCAATAATGGGATAATGTCGCCATATTAGTGAGTGAGTGAGTGATTACCATTCCGAGGGTCACAGTGAGTGAGTGAGTGTATTTGAGCCATCCATGTATGCAATTTTCATCACTATTTTGCCTTTTACGCCAAATGGAATCTGTTCCAGCAGAAAATCGAGACTGATCATTCTCTGTGTATTTCCATGTAGGTCATCGTTTCACGTATCGTTTACCAATCCTCCAGCAGTGGTGATAACAAGAGGGGCGACACTAACTATGGGCTCTACATTTTGCAGATATTTCTTATGAATATGGAAAGGGTTTAGTCGAATATACCTATGAGGCAATATTATTCTATTCCTGCAGACATTACGTTAGTTACGGCGGGGACAGATGAAATATGATCGGGGTTTACGTGAACACTGCATTTAGCAGTATTCCAACATTATGACGGCAGGAGACACAAAATGGTTAAAGCTTGGACTCGCCACCCGAAGACGCGGGTCCGACTCCCCACATGGTTCCAAATGGTGCACCAAGAGTTTACTATGCATAGATATGCATCTAGTGCATTAAAACATGTAATCCGTGTGTATACGTAGTTCTGTATTAAGGTGATAATTAGCGCTTCTGTTCACATTGATAAGTATTACAAGTGTTTGACATGCGCGTTTGCTGATACTGCAGCTGCATTTCAACATGATCCAGACGTTAATTGTAAAGGATGTCCACACGTGTCTTCAGACATAGGTTGATTAAATTCTCCCTTAGCACATGCCAAAGGTGTAAGAAAAGAAAAGAGTAGCACCACGGTTTACTATAACAGGTAGTGAGTGAGTGAGTGAGTGAGTGAGTGAGTGAGTTTGGTTTCAGTTTGAACATTATATCAGGGCGTTTCAGCTTAACCTTTTTGTGACACTTTTTGTTTCACGTCCTGTCACCTCTGCGTGTGCAAGGATTGCTGGAGATAAGAAAGGGAAACACAGAGACATGTGGGTGCGTGTATTGCAACGTTTGGCCATTATCCCCAATAACCATATTACTGAGACCTCGTATACAGCGGAAGAGCAATGGAATTTGAGTGAGTGAGTGAATTTGGTTAACGCCGCCTTGTACAACATTCCAGTTATATCACGGCGTGTCAGCTTAATGAGAGGGAAGAAAGCAAGACATGATGCAGGTCGCAGAATGTACCACTTTAGTGAAACCCACCAGCTACATCAGGTGAGGTGAAGTGGAGGTAACGTCGTGTTCAAGAATATTGCACTTGAAATCTCTATCAACACGTAACGATAATGTATTGTAACAGCTTTCAGTGTTCAGTGTGCAAGTGTCAGTTCCATGCTAGTGGTTACATAATCTCTGTAAGGGATTTCCACATTATCAGCACTTGCACAACAGCGGCGCGGGTTGAATGTGATAACACTTCCATACACCATCTCTTTATTAAAGTCGGTCTCAGTTTCATTTTAAGCTGATGTTAAAACGCGATAAAACAAGTTTCCTTACTTCACTTACTCATCATATATATATTTAGATCACCTTATGGCAATAGGTACATGTTTACAATAGGCAATAGGTACATAGGTACTATATTCTGCTGGAAGGAAGTGTTTGTGAAGATGGTATTATTAAAATTAAAACCATACCTGCTTGTAGAAACGATGCTTGAGTAAATTACGAAAATATATCGAAACAGATACTACTAACACTGGTTAGTATTGGTATTATAATCATGGCTGCGACACTAATAGCCGACTTCACAGATTGTACCATCACAGGAGTTGAGCCAGGGTCTTCCCAATAACCACTTGCCAGCCTATTGTCTATTGATTTCGAGGGACTCCGTTTAAGCCAATGTCCTTGTATGTCAGTGTAGGATTTGTTTGTTGTTAAACGCCGCACTCAGCAGTATTCCAGCTACATGACGGTGGTCTGTTAAAATGTCTGGAGCAAACAATCCAGTGATTGACAACATGAGCCTCGGTCCCGGAATTGGGATACGATGACATGCATCAACCAAGTCAGCGAGCCTGACCACCCGATCCCGTTAGTCGCCTATTACGACAAGCATGGTTTGCTGAAGACCTATTCTACACTGGATCTTCACCCGTCTGTCCGTGTAGGAGCAACGGTTATATATGTAGAAAGGTTCATCGGATACCACATCATATTACATCCACACTATGATGCTTCTTTATTCTCAAAGTCCGGACGATTCAAGTAAGTAAAAGCGACAAAACCCTGTCCAGAAACATGTCCACTTCACGATTTTAACCATGTCATAAGAACGTGTTTATGAATCACTATCAAACAGTGATGATACCAGGTGTTCACGAAAAGGTGAGCGTGTCCTGCCTCACCGTTGGCACCCGTCACAAACACATGCAAAGGTAAGTCAACTGTTCACTTGAAAAAACACGGGAACATACGGCACAAGTCAACCTAGGGATTTGTATCGGACATCAGTTTGGTCACCATTTGGACATCATTAAGGAACGCTCCACACATGTAAGTAAACATTCGATCTTATTTCACAGCGTGTCAGCTGGATCTGGGAGCAACGGGATGTGGGTCTTAGAGAGTCTATATCATCTATAACGTTGGTGAAACCCTAGATTCATAATCAGCAAGAGTGTAGGATTCTGTAAACATGATCCGATAATTATAGGAATTTGGCTCACCAAAGGGATGCAACTCGTCACAGCGACTGATCCACCAGTCGTCTATCTCAAGGTCACAACTCAGTGATTTGTTCAGCAGACTTTGTTAATCTGGACCATTTTAACCGGGCACCCTACGGATTAACAAGGTTTCACTGAATGTTGTTGTATTTCCTCGTCTACAGCTAGGGTCGGCGTATGCACGTCGTGGCTACTGGCTGGATCATGCATAGATATGTGATACATTGTAAGCCATAAGTATAATGACACCATCGCTTCGACTTACCGGCGTCTGTTGTCTTTATCTAAGGCCCCAAACATGTACGCTTAACTCCGTCTCCTTCAAGTACCAAAGTCCACAAAAATAACTCCATTTTATAATGAAGTAACCCAATATTTTGAATTAGTCACAAATGTTCTCTCCATCTGGCCATATTTTTACTCATTCTGCCGCTACGTGCATTTAATCGATTTCGACTTGAGAAAGACAGAATCCTCACACCAGCAGGAGCAGCATCGCTGTGAATGGATTGTCTGTAAATCCCTTGGGAATTTGCTTTTCACACGTGCAGGCACTGCAAGGAGTTCAGCCAGCAAAATGTACACAATCACAGAAACGTTTGCCCGGTCACTGTTTGGAACTATTAAAGTCAATAACAACCTTACTATACGCAAACACTGAGCATGCACAGTTACTTTCTAATTGAAAAGTTTAGTTTCAGAGAATGACGGCAGCGGTACGCTGTACAAATAGTCAGATCGTTGCTACTGTACATATGGTTATCCAACAATTGTTACACGGACGAATTCCGTAATGAGGGCTCTGACCTTCAGAGCTATGCTACATTAACCATTGTCTTGATCGTGACCCTCCCAGAGACCATCTCAATACATTACTCTCGTTTTACGAACATGTTATGTATCAAATTAATAATCAATAACTTATATTGCAGTATACATCTGAAATACCTATCCCAGTATCCCATGCTTGTCATATTAACCGACCAGCATGGATTGGTGGGCCGGTCCCTTAACTGATTGCGCGTTATCATACATGTATGATTTAGGGAATTATTGCATAGAAAATTCATTGTAACTAACTTATAGTTGCAGTTCTGGTGGATGTATATGTAAATGAATGCGTTAACATGATAATATATACTTTGTTTACATTTTAGCTTCCATGTAATCGGTTTGATATTTATGCGAGAGGATATTGTGAAAGCCACGCTGGACAAAATTCAACCACGACCTTGACCTTTTTCTGGACCAGGCACACCAGCGTCAGAGTGAATGGACACAACCCACACCATCCGGTCACGATGTTAAAATAGCAAATATAGCGCGCACGTGGCAGTATACATCTCACATAACTACCCCCGTGGCAGTTTCGCGGAAGAACAGGTCCCTAACAGCCAATTCTTGTCGGAGTAGCCGACCACAGAAATGATCGGGTGGACAGAGATATGGCTGATAGTACGCTATTTGCCAAAGACCGATCACCCAATTTTTCTTCACGGGGTGAGGGGGAAGGCGGGGAGAGAGACAAACATGAGACCAATTCTCACCCGGATCTTCACGTATAGCAGTAATCTATAATCATTCAACAGCATATTCACGTGTGAGATTCACTATTAATTTCTCAGCTCTTGATATATACGGCCTTCTCTCTTAACCAAAGCTAATAAGAACGTAAAGATATTTAGAGTTAAGCACAGTGTGCATCTTATTGATTTTAGGAAACTATCCATAAATATCACATTTCTTACACTTTTGTCAAACATATATCCCACGCACATACGCACACACGCACACACACATTTAGTATTCACTGAATATAAGGTGTAGGTGCCCATTGCTATATACAATGCAATGCAACTACACCAAGCTACGTTCAGACACACAATACACCTCGGTGACCTGATTCTACCTAGCTACCAGACAAGGATAGAGATATCTGTGGCTGTTTCCTGTTCTCTCATCAACACTGGGTCGATTAACAGCGACAACCAAGAGAAAGACACTGCAGCTTTACAGCTGAAGAAAGCAAACCCCAGAGTAAAGACATTTACATAGAATCTAAAAGGTTGCCTACCTCAGCCAAACACGACCAGGCCTTCAGAGCTTGTATCCAAGACTTGGTATCTGGATGAGCTGAGTAACACTGCAATACAAAATTCAAACAGTTTACTTCTCGTGAAAATACTCCAGTCAGTCAGTTCCGGAAGAAAAATCAATGCGAGGACTACAGTGGTGCTGCCGATCTGAAGCCACTGAAGATGGTCATATCCAATACACACTTTAATTTGTTAGCCTCGTTAATAAGAATTTGAGCGCTGGATTGTATTAACAATTCATCAAGCAGGAATGAGGTTTAATTGACCAACAGCTAACGGTGATCGGTCAAGTGGGATCTCTCATGTGGAGGAGAGTCTCTCTGTTGTATGCAGCGAGTGCTGATATCCTAGATTTTCTATTATCCTGCTATGCAGATGGAGTATATGTGTCCCTAAGTATGAACAGCACTCAGTGACACAGCTGTTATGGACTGGATGTACGATACTGTATAATAACGCCATTGCAAGAATCAATATAGACATATTTCTCACAAACAGTTGAATGTATAGAGCAAGTATATATACACACAGCTGTACCATCCTCTGGGGCTTCAGATCGGCAGCACCAAAGTATATACATTATACTCAAGTGCGTGAGTGAGTATGGTTTTACGCCGCTTTTAGCAATATTCCAGCAATATCACGACGGGGGACACCAGAAATGGACTTCACACATTGTACCCATGTCGGGAATCGAACCCGGGTCTTCGGCGTGACGAGCGAACGCTTTAACCACTAGGCTACCCGACCGCCCTATTTATGACTCAAGACAATAAAGGAAAGCATCCCTGTACAAAATACCTTGCGTGAACACATTCAATAACGTGACAGATGTTATGCAGACCCGAGGTTAAGTCTATTGGTGTGTTTCCTGCTACATTATTAACAACGTATCACCACAAATAACACATACAACAGATGAGGGACAGAAAACGTTCTTAAATTCCGACTCTAGGACCGATGGTTATTTGAGTGAGTGAGTAGGGTTTAACGCCGCTTTTAACAGTATTTCAGTCATATCGCGGCGTGTCAGCTTAATGTGGGAGGAAAGCCCGAAGTGAACGTCTCAGGACGTTTACCACTTCGGTGAAACCCAAGAGCACGACTATGGTGCTAACAAACCTAGAAACATAATCGGGGCGAACCGGGATTCGAACCCACAATCATAGGTTTCTGGTGTGCCCAAGGGACGCAACTCTGCACAGCGAATTGCGGCGCCTAAGACGACTGGGCCACCCGTACCCCCGATGGTTATTTGAAAAGGTGTAACTGGTATATAATGTACACTGCTGTACCTTTTCACTGATGGGAACTTGTCCAACTTGAACCTATTTAAGAAAATATGTATCTCCAGAGATACAGCTAACACTACGAGAAGCGATGCAGCAAAGCCTTTGTCAGCGAAGCTTCAACAACACATGTTTGTTATGGTCAAAGATGATGATCTGTCTTTCTCCTGTGACTCCCCTGATGCGGTCCATGATAGGTTATTAATTCGTCGGCTATGTCCTGTGGTCACTGACATGTTTCATTGTGAGTTGAGCCGTGATAAGGAAATATCGCTATGAATTACGCGCTTGGCTTATTGCATCCATGGGTGTTTGCTGTAACGCCGTGAACCTGATTTCCCGTGATAAAATGGTGGGGAGGCGTTCTGGGTTCAGAATGTGGACATCATGTCCAGTTCACCTGTCCCGAATGTATGCACGTGTGTCGGAGAGAGTACATTGTAATACGAGTGTTGTCTCACGATACATAACCTGTAGTCGATATTGTGAGGGGTGTGTGTGTGTGTGTGTGAGGGTGTGGGGGTGTGGGGGTGTGGGTGTGGGTGTGGGTGTGGGGGTGTGTGTGTGTGTGTGTGGGGGGGGGGGGGGGGGGGGGGGGGTCATCTTCCGTCAGCATGACCTTCCACATCGGTCAACGATAAAATAGTTTTCCACTTTTAAAAACTGCTGTGGATAGTCAATAGCCATATATAATTCCTATCATGAAGAGCTGGTTGCTTCCGAACACGATCATGATCGTCACAACCTAACCAATTCCTGCCACTACTCAGATCATATATACATATAATGAGCTGAAGATTATTGCACTTATATAGCGACGTGCAGGCACGTGTGTGTTGCTGCTTGTACTAGTCCTGACTGATGCCGATTTATAGTGCCAGCACACTGAGATACCATGCCGCAGTTTAACATGAATACCCCACTCGGACAAAGTATACTGACTCCGAGCCGACCAGTCCTTGTTAAGCCCCTTAATGCCGAGCGCCAGACAGGGTAACAACAAGTGCCATCGTTTAACGTCTTTTGGTATGACGCGGCCAGGGAACGAACCCCGGACCTTCCGCTCTCCAGGCGGACGCTCTACCACTAGACCACTGAGGCGGTCTTATATAAATATACGTCTTGCTGTAGATACCACAATCTTACAACGTTCTACTATATCAACATGTATCATTATCATGCTAAATATCCCTATCCTATTCTCAAGAGACAGAAAAAGAAAAGATAAGCGTATCCTGTCGGAATGGTGGTACCCGTCACAAACACATGCAAAGGTAAGTCAAGTGTACAGATATCCAGAGATCATTTAGATGTCCGCCAGATGTCAGCTAGATGTCAGTCAGATGTCTGTTAGGTGTCTGTTTGGTGTAAGTCAGATGTCCGTCCTAGCAAGGGCAAGTTCAAATCGTTTTATGTGGGTGGACTTTGTAATTATTGATTACCTTGTTTACTCAGACACTGTCGTAATTTCTAACATAGCACCAATCACAACATATACACCTCGAGTGAGAGAGTGATCCCCAGACGATAGAGCATTTTACCTGAGATTCTCTGACCTGAATAAAACATCTTTATAAACAGCGATAAACCTAATTCAACGGTAACATGAAACACGCAATATCAGTGGAGCTATATCCTTAACCACCAGTGAAGTTATGGCAACCCAGCTGTTATGACCTGCTTCTGCCAAATGCATGATGCACTGCATCGTGATGCATGTGATTATGCGCAATTAAAACGCAATTCGTTATTCGCATACCGTGACTAGAAAACAGCTTGTTGTGAGAAGATATTGGCGTGAAGACGTTATTCGTCCATCAGCTGCACCTGGTTATGTTGAATGTTTTGTGTGTTATAGTCGCGTCTCATTATTCAGTATTCTCGATTCAGGATGACCCGTCGCATGCGTAATGCACACTAGTACTGTCATTGGTTATGTGACGTGTAAGTAGACCGACACCGGTTGGTATGTATTTCTGTCAGGACAACATATCGTTTACTATCATCATTTTCGTCTGGCTGCTTCTAACCGATTCGTTAACGGATTTGCCACAGCGTAATGTTTACATTTCATAAATAAAAATCAGAGGATGTTCCAAGAACATTTTGAATCCATCAACTCATAAATGAATCAGTCCGTGTTTTCCTGACACGTCGAGTCTGATGGTTTTCATTTACACACAGACTGGGGTCGGCAGCTGTTAAACAACTTGTCGAGTATTTTTCTCAATGTAACTGTTTACATATCCGACCAGTTGGACGATATTTCAATGTCTGTTTTACAGTGGAACCATATTGAATATTACTTATGCCTCAGGATGTCAAGGATGGTCTAATGGTCAATTTGATGTACTGTTACAGAATTAATGTTGGGGATAAATCACTCACTCACTTATAGGCAGATTCCGATATGTCTATAGTATAGTGTTTGAAAGGCAATATGATGTTTAGATGTTTTGTCAAGATGTTGATACATTGCAATGACTTACACATTATTTCGAACCTATCGTAAGTAAAATTGATGGCTAAATGACAAGTGCAAACTAAACTTAATTTGGAAAACAATGAAACTATCAACATGTTAAAATATTCTTGAATCACACAACCATGTTGGCTTCATGGCAACATAAACAGCTTGTAACGCTATTATTGTTGCGTTTGCTGGTTGTGACGTGTGGAGATGCGTATCCTATCTATTAAAATCACCCTTGACCTTTATAGGACATTGAACCAACATTTAAAACCTATGCTTAAGTCTATAATAAAACATGCATTATTGAAACGTTAAAATTCAGTCCTTTGCTTCAGGGAGGACGGTGCGGGAAACTGAAGCATTAAGACACCCGGGGGGATTTACAAAAGTGTTAATGACATCGCTTGGAACCTTTTAAATAATTAAGGGACCCTTCGTGCCATGTCGTCTTTGAATCTAGAGAGGACGTAGAGAAGACGGACGTGGCTTTGATCTAAGCACTGATGACAACCGCGTTAATTAATCTGTCATGTCATGTGTGTAATGATACGCCCCCACCATACCCTGTACAATTCCAGTACTGCTGATACATGAGTTGTGTGGATATAGCGTCAGGCGATAATGATTTAAATGATATTTCTATAATATGATCCACATGAACGCGTTATGTGCGCTCATGCATGAGATACGTCATGTCAGTGTGTGTTTGTGTGTGTGTATGTGTGTGTATGTGTGTATGTATGTGTGCGTATGTGTGTATGTGTATATGTGTGTATGTATGTGTGTGTGTGTATGTGTATATATATATATATATGCGTGTGTGGGAGTGTGTGTGCGCGCGCGTGCGTGCGTGCGTGCGTGTGTGTGTGTGTGTGTGTGTGTGTGTGTGTGTGTGTGCTATGGGCCTATATACAGCAATGTTAACACATTATCTGGCCTACGGTCAGATAAGTGACGACACCAATCACACAGGTCTTCGTACGCGCGTCCGACCGATGCCAAACTCCACAGAATTAGCGCCTGCAGATGGATGAATCTCATTTACACTAGGTGTATCTGAACTATCTGAATCAAGAACGGACATGATCAAGACATTGCGACTGGGATATATATCCATTGCCCCGGCATTATATTTAAAGCATTTCCCACATGGAACTTCGTAGCAGTTACGTATAAGAACTCTTCAGGACATCGGATTTGTTTCTGTGTCTTTAATTGGCATTTTAGAAGCTGTAGTATCAATAAAGACAGAGCTGACTTAGTTTTTAACTAGTTTTCTGTACCG